AGTTTCATTTGGTTATTTTGTTGTTTTATGTGGTGTAATATTAGATAGATAGATAGATAGATAGATAGATAGATAGATAGATAGATAGATAGATAGATAGATAGATAGATAGATAGATAGAGGTGAAGCAATAGCTCTAATCCTAATATTAGACTCGGTTGTACAGTGCTTCAGATCTCTTATCTTTCTAATTGGATGCCCTTTTCAGAGACTTGTGGAGTGTTCACTAAGACAAATCGAGCACATCTCAAATGGCTATATTATCCAGGACCATTATCAGCCATTTTCTATGATAACTTGGTGAGTAAAGTGCAGTTTTTTTCTCAGGAATGGCCCTTGTTATGATCATCATAGCTTATCAGCCTCATGCTGGATCCATACTGGGACTTAATTTTAGTGTAATACTGTATCAGTATCATTCGGCAAGTGCTGAACTGGAGTGGTGCTGTTTGTGGTGCAGAGGATTATCCAGATTTATCCCTGCCAATGTCCTTTGAAAGTGGGCCAATACCATGTTTTTGTGTGTTTCATCTGGCACATTCCTGTTGTACCTGCACCAAGCTAAACTGTGGTTGAAATAAAAAGGAAAATAAACCTGGTGTACTTGCAGGCATGTGCATTAAGGTCTTTGCATGCTATGTGCACAGCTAGAGCTAGTTCAAGGTCAGCACAGCAGTAGAGATCTGATAATTCCTACATGACGCTGGTGGCCAAGCTGGCGTAAAGTCACCACAACAAACTATACTTTAATTCCTACATCACAAACCTTATAAGCCACTGCCACTATGGAGGTCAGGGGTCAAAGCCACAGTGCCCTGACAGAAGATAATATTTCTGTGTTCCTAGAAAGATCAATTGTATTATTGCTATTGTAAGAAAAAAATTAGAGAGTAAAATTCAACTTCAACTTGTTCAAATTGTCTCTCAACAGAGAAACATTGTTGTTTATATGTACACCTGTGATCCCTACCTCTCAAAATAACTTATCAATAACATTAAAATAGCTACTGGTTACATACTTAGAATTTGCCAGATGCTTTAAATAGTTTGCCAACAAGCTGTCATAACAGTATGTATTTAATTCCAAGTCTCATATAACACTATGTGACAGGATCAGGTTCCACTCCAAACCTAATGCTGCACACACTGTACACACACACTGTGTCACACTGCTGTGGCTTCATGCCAAACACGCCATCCCAGCAGGTTTGAAAAATGCCACCAGCCACTAACCACCCAGTGATGGATTTGGTTTGTTTATACGTTCTCACAGCTGACCAGTGCATTTAAAGAGTTAAAATCAAACTAGCTTGTTAAACAGGGAATTCGTTCATTAAATTTAACAACCCGATAGCAGCTGCAGGTGGACAAAAAGCTAGCTTTGACTGTGTTAAAGCCAGTTTATCTCTACTGTGGCTCTAGTCCAAACCTTATGCCACTCCCTTAGTCAGTGCACTGTATTACAGCTGTTCTCTAAGCATAATGCTACAACCTAAGTCACTGTATTATGGCTCCATTCCAAGCCAAACGTTTTAACCTCAGTGAGTGTATTAGGTCTCCATTCAAAGCCAAATCCTCCCCCCCTTTCACCCTCTCTCTCTGTCACTTTCTCTGTCACTCGTTTGATTAGAAGCTATGTGGCCAGTTAATCTGCCGGCTTTATGTGAGACTGCAACAAGGTGCACAGACACATACATGCACAGTACGATCAGATAAGGCTACAGTGTGTGTTTATGTGTGTGTGAATAGGAATGAATTTGTCCCTGCTTGTGTGCGAATGCCTGTGTGTGTGTGTGTGTGTGTGTGTGTGTGTGTGTGTGTGTGTGTGTGTGTGTGTGTGTGTTGTGTCAGATGAGACAGTCTGCTGGGATCGCGGAGGCCTGGAGGCACCATATGGTCTCTGTGTCGCTCATAGACCTCTCTGTTCTCCTCTCTCGCCTCTCCTCCTTAATTTCTTTTTTTCCTCACTGTCTCTCTCTCTCTCTCTCTCTCTCTCTCTCTCTCTCTCTCTCTCTCACTACGCCTCTTTCATCTCACATCTCTCTTCCTCCTCCTCTCCACCCCCCTACTGTTTCTATCTTTTTTTCACGCTTCCTCTGTCTCACTCTGTCTGTCACTCAAATTTTAGATTCTCCTCCTCTAGTTTGCACTCTTTTTAAGCCCTTATTGTCTTTTTCTTTGGTGTTCTCTGTCACTTTTAAGGTCTTTTAACCATGCCACCTTTTTTTCTTTTCGGTGTCTGATTTTCTGGAGCCACTTTATAATAATTCACCCTTTGCAAAGGCTTTGTAAGTTTTAACTAATGGTTTAATGGTTAATGCATGCATTACTAATGACTGGTCTTATAGATTGGTTATAAGCCATTCATAAGAACAGCTATTGTTAGGTTAAGGCTAAGGTTGTGAAAAAAATCCTCTGGTTGGTGTTTATCCTCCAGCAGGACACCTATTTAATTAATCAGGAAGACCATCTTTTGGACCTCTTACCTTGCTGTGAATTTGGACCAAAACCAATTTATTTAACAACTTATTAACTGCAGATATGATAGCTTATACAAAATAGTAAAAGCCACAAGTACTGGATTGCCAATATTATTGCTGCATTATTTCTAAAATAAACACCATCCAGAGGAGATTTTCACAACTTGGCAAGCCAAAAGTTGTTAGTATTTGTGGTTTAGCATTTGTAAACCATTGATAAATCTTCTTTCATACATGGTAATTTATAGTCCTAATATTTTAAGTATCTTTATTCCATCTCCCTCCCTTTGTTTTTGGAATTTGTATGGATGAAGGAAAAACTTAAAATGATAATCTTGACAACATGTAATTTTTTCCTGATTATAAAATCATCTATCAATTATAAAACCATTAAAACTAATATATGCCTTTTAGGAAATTGAAATCATTTTGCCCAAAAACTCAGTCACAGCGGCTTGAAATTGGCTTTGAGCCCTCGAAAACACTGATAAAGCATCCTCCACAACCTTTCAGAGATGTCATATCACTTTTCTGTCTAATGTAGGTTACAAGTTTTCATCATAGTTGTATAGCCATTAGTTGAAAATATGGCCAACAAACTCCAGCTGACACTGACGAATATTAACATTTCTTGAAAGACTCTCTATTTTTCTTGTTGACCTGTTTTCACTCAAAAAGCTTTTAGCCCTGCTGATGAAAGCACACCTTTGATTTTTTGCAACACAATATATTGAATGGAAACACATCTTTTGTGTCCTTTCTGTCTGTCAAGTTCCATTTCTAAATGAACTTCATTAGAAGGAAACACATCTTTGATGATTTGAACTTTGTCATTCTCAGTACTGTAGGAGTCTGATATATTCATTATCTCTGATTTGATGGGATGTCTACCCCTTTCTACTCGTATTATATGCATCTTCCAGTGACTCAGTCTGTTCGTGTGTGAGTGTATTTATGACTGTGTGTAAGGATCTATAGGAGTAATAGCAGAGATCAGAGAGCTTCCAACACAGAAAAACAGTGAAAAGGCAAAGAAGAGATGCAGAAAAAACACCTTTTATAAAAATGCTTGGCAATATTGATAATGCATATTTTGTTTCAACAATGAATACTGAATTGAACTGAGAGGCAGACACTTGGCAATATCGTGTTACATTCATGCCAAGAACGTAATTGCATGGAAGAGACACTGAGATTGCAGGAGAACATTTTTGATGACTGATGGAGAATATTTTTGATTCATATTCCTAAAAGACTTTCACAATATTGTTAATGCAATATTTACGATGATAGGACTTAATTAAGCACACTAATGGACGTGAACAGAGAGAGATAATGGACTTATATTGAACTGAATATAATGCTGAGATGGATGGAAAGATTAAGAAAAGATAGAGGACAGGTGAAGAGAAAAAGGAAGAGGTATGAGGTGGTGGGATGGAGATGGAGGGAGGCTGAGTGGCCCAGAGGGAGGTATAGCTATCGACTTAGAGGTGCTGTGTGGGTGTATGGAGGTTCTGACAGATAGTGTTGCCCTGTTATTTAGTGTCCCCGGTGTTACACAGCAGTTTGTGGGGGCGATTTTGCTAGACACCTCTGGAGCAACAATACTTCTCCAACAGGAAGACAAAGATCCCCGTTTTTATGGTCTCTCTTTTTGTTTTTTGTTTTTTTTGTTTTTATGAGACATTTTTTTTCCTGCACAAATTGCAGCATTGTGTCATTGTAGATGTATAACAAAAGAGCGAAAGAATGCAGAGAGGAGCTTTCATGTTTGCCTATTAGCTGAAGAAGTGTCTGGAATCTCTCGGAGAGCTGGATCCATCCACTCCACTGTCTAATCCACAACACACACACACACGCACACATGCACATAGCTGCCGTATCTGTTGCTATGCCACCCGACTTCTGATGGATTTTTGTTTTGACTGAGTGTGCCCGTGGTATAAAAGGGGGAAAGAGAGAAATATTATGGGGTAAGAGAGAGAGTGGAAATGTGGGGAAGAAGGAAGAAGAGATAAAAGGGGAAGAAAGGGGAAGTCAGACATGTGAGAAGAGAAGAATGTGTTGGGGGAAAGCAGAAAAAGAAGGGACACGGGAAAAGGAAAGCAAAGGGGAGATAGAAAAGGAAAGAAAGGTAAATCGAGAGGAAGAGAAAAGGAAGGCAGACAAATAACCTGCAGCTCTCTCCCCCATCATTTCCTCCCCACGCTTTTGTTTCTACAGACTGCTGGCTGTATTAATACATACAGTAATGTGGCATTTCACTGGAGGACTTGGCACGTGGCCACTGCATGCTCAATGCCCTCATCCTTTGTGTGTGTGTGTGTGTGTGTGTGTGTGTGTGTGTGTGTGTGTGTCTGGGCATGCTAACATTAGCAGCTGTCAAAACAGACAGTGTTCGTCCTTTCATGTGTAGTTAGGAGTACAATAGATGGGAGTAAGATAGAGCAGAGCTGAGTAGAAAGAGAGCACTTTATGTCTTATCTTTTCGATTTGCTTTTCATTTTGTTGACTCACCAGGTCTGGCCAGGTGGTGGGTGGTAGAGCTGGGTGGGGGCAGGCCAGTCCCCCCAGGGGGGCAGGTGGGGGGTAGCATGACACAATGCTCTGCAGCCTTCCTCTGTCGGAGGGGCGGGGCTATGGGGGCGTCAAGCCGCCATGCCTGCAGCCTCCACTAGGGCGGTGACTGCAAAAAACTACACCAAAACACCTGAAAGAGAGAAAAAAGACAAGTGAGACACACAGATAGATACATCAAACATTAAAAGCATGCATGAAAAAGATATATTTTCTCTTATTTGCAACTTCAGACATTTGCAAATCCTAATGCTGAGGCAGTATCACATCAATCTGATATAGCACAGGGCTACACAAACAAGTATGCACTGATACACATGCATACACACCCCTGTATACACCAGCAGCAATGGAGGCTAAAGCAGCAGGACGCTGTGTGTGTGCACGCTCATGTTTGTGAGATGTCCTTGCATATATTAAAGGGTATTTCTGTGTCTGTGTGTATGCATGTGTTTGCACCTTTGCTCCCTTGTGTGCATACACGTCTGTATGTGCGCATCACAGACTGCCCCCTGGTATTTCATAGGCATACATAATAGATGTGTGTGTCTTTGGCAGTTTACACAATCAGTTTCCTTTTCCCACAGACAGACCCCCTACTGTTACTGTCTGGCACAGAGACTGACACGGAGAGAGAGACAAAGCAGGAATGACACAGGGTGAGAGAGAGGAGGAAGAGAAAGTGAGCAATGGAGAAAAATGGTAGAGAGAGAAGGATAAATGCATAAACTAGCAAATACAGAGACATGTGGAGGGAACAAAAACAGAACACAGAGTGAAAGGTATTAATGGGAAGAATAATGACGAGACATTGTGTCTGTTTGTGTGGGTGATGCTGCCAAGCTACCCTTGAGCAAGGCATCAAGTTGCGAGAGGTGCTGCTGATTCTCTTTGAACTCTTTGTTGAATAAATAAAGGTAACACAGCTACAGTTAAGCTAAACTGAATCCGCTGAATCGGCTGCCCGCTGAGTAAACAGTGACAAATATGTCACCTCAAGAGTACATCAAGTACCTAAAATTCAGAGGTTTTTGGGGATGATGGTGTCTCACTGATTCTATAAATGATATCAGCTCGGATATCTCTGCAGGTTATTCATATGGTCCAACTCAGAAAATCAACAAACAAGTCCAATAAAATAAATCAGCTATACAAGACTATTCATATCAGGCCATTGGACAAGTTTTATAAGATTGAAAACTTTGGTGCAAATGAAATCTTTAGTTATTAGTTATAATGTTGTTTTTTCTCCTGTTTTGATGTTATTGATGTTGTTATTTTGTTCTCTGTACTAATATGGGGGTCATAAAGGCTGTTAGTTTTTTGTATCAGTGGGATTGATGGACTTACGGTGACATGTAGACATAGGACTTTACTTCTCTTTGAATAAAAAAGTTGAAAAAGAATGACCCACTCCAATTACAGCAGTGTAATGAAACATATCCCACATGCTTAGAAGATGAGTCTCCTTGTCACTGTTGAGTCATTACAGTGAAAATAGGTTTTTACAAGTGGGAAATTACCATGGGAGAAAGCTCTTTGGGACCTCAATACCACATGACTGATGCACGCTGTTGACTCGCACCCCCTGGGCCAATCAGTGTAATTTTGAAAAAGCTGGAGTGCTGCTGTGAGATGCGTCTTTTCCCAAAGTATCATCAAAACCCAATCAGCAGTGTGTGAAATATGGCACTAATCAGATTAGGCTGTTGTTCAATGGTTAGCTGTTTGTGGGGAAAACTTAGAAACGTAAGCGTGCTTTTTTCGTACATGGCTTATTTTGCCGTAAAGTTGAATGTGGGTGAATGCGCATTTGTGCGTGTGTTAGCGCTCATTTGTGGATGCAGTGATTATGTAAATGTGCACCTGTAGCATAAATGAGTTGTAGGAGGATAAAGTGGCTGCATGGAAAAGGGAGGAAAGAGGAAAACATGATAGATGGATCTAGATGAAGATAGACAGACAACTCTTTGTGCATATAGTCAAACAGACAAACACGCTGTAACTGCAGTCACTTCCAAAAGTAACACTCATCAATCTGCTCAGAGTGTCAGCAAGTGGTTATATATGAGTTAGTGGAAACTGGGCGAGAGGACAGGGGAAGGGAGAGGGGACAGAGGAGAGGGGAAGGAGAAGGCAGTGGGGGGAGAGGTGAAATAAGAGACAGTTGTGATGACAAGGAAAGGAGGTGTATAAAAGAGACAGTGACAAAAGGATAAAATGAAAATATAGGCAAAGCAGTAAATGCCAGAAAGGGAGGTAGGAATAAATGCAACAGAGAGGACATTAAAATTCTCCTCCACAACCTCCTGAGTGTTTTGGCGTGTGGGGTTGTGTATGTGCGCCCCAGTGGTGCTATTTGTGTTATCATTATTGCTATTAGTACCTGCCAGACACTGAAATATAAAACACTTCAATCTAACTGCTCTTGCCCCTCTTTCTTTATATTCCCTCTGCATACTGTGCCTCCCCACTTCCTCTTCTCCTCTCCAACATCTCCTCCTCTATCTTCCAATCTTTTCTTTCTTCATGACCTTCATCCCTCAATATTCATTATTCCTTCCTCTCCTTACCATCTCTCTCATTCTGTCTCTCCCCCTCTGTCTCTTTTCGCTCCTTGACAAAGGAACACGGGCATGTACCAAGGATATTCGGCAGATGGATTTGCTGCATGTGATTAAAGTCACATTAGCTGGGCTCTACTGGGAAATTTGAGTTGTTCTTTTTAAATGAGCACATGAGCTTCATTTGAAAAATTCAGAAGCACACATATGAGAAATGCAAGGAGCTCGAGGAATTTGGGGAGATTCCTCTCACGGCTTCAAATGCATTGTTTATTGTAAGTTATTGTTTATTAATGATTTATTTGACATTTTTGCGGAGTTTTTGTCTTTCAATACTGTTTATCATATTTACTCATGCACTGTAGAACACGGTCTGATTAATGTTTTTTTCCTTTGTCGTAGTTTTAAATTGAACATTTCTGCTGCAATTTTGTTAAATCAATCTGTAATTCCTGTTTCAGCTTTGGGATTGTAAGTGTTGCCTTGGTTTGCATGTTGGCCATTTGTCAAATGATTCATGGCTTTGTGTGTGTTTATTTTGATTTATTTTGGGGAGGAAAACAGTTTGACTGGGAAGCAGTTTGTTCGTTTACGAGCAAAAAGTAAAATCACTCAGTCGTTATATATATAGTATAATAGCTTTATAGTCAAATAATGATTTTGTTGTTTTTTGTTGAGCTGTCATTCACATCTCATTGTTGATTGCTTGCTTTTCATTGTTTTCTATACCATTTTTGTATTGGGCAATGGGAGGAAATGAAAAAGACAAAGACACTCATTAATTAATGTCACCAAATCTTAGAGAAGACTTCTATTTTTAGGCCTGACAGCCACCAAAAAAACTGTTAGTATAAAGGTGGAAACCTCCTCAGATCTCCCAGTGGATCCTCTCATTAGCAGACATCATCTCTCTTGAACTTTCCATAGCTCAAATCAATGATGTGAAGGGAAATACAATTAATACCCTGTCTAGGGTGCTAGAGAAAGTTACTGTCAGTGTTTCATACCATTATCAAGAGATGGTCTACATTGTTTCTTTTGTGGCGGCTCTGGTCCTTGGTATTTATGACTGATGTTTATTTTATTTCTTACCATTTAAGTGTACGTGTGCATGTACTCAGAATATAGTGTATATATATATATATATATATATATATATACTAAGACTAGTGGGACAAATAAGGCCTTTGTCGGGCAGTTGACGAATACTTTTATGCTCGTATATTTATGTTGAAATGACTCATGATTAGTAGCCTCTTATCTAAAGGCTGATAATTTTCTTTCTCTAACCAGTATTGAAAAATAAAAACTTGATTGCAAAAAAAAGGAAGGCAATAACATTGAACCAATCAAAAATGTACAACAAAAGAATATAATTTATCAGTACACATGGTGAAATGTGCCCTAATGTAACCATGTGCATAATCGTGATGGAGTTGTCATGTAAGTGATGTATTGGAGGTGTAGCAGAAGGTCACCTCTGCAACCACATGTTACTGTTCTGCCCATCAGTTCCCATCATGTTAAATGGGTGGTGTGGTGGCAAGCCTGTCTGTCAGGCTATTCTCAGAAAGCTTTTTTTACCAATTTGACCTGCACACAGGGGCAGCCAAAATCCACACATGCAACCATGCACACATTCACCCACACGTGTAAATACTTGGGCGCCAAAGTGGCCTGCATGTTGGGGAATCAAGTAACACCTCCTCCCCTCTTCTGCTCCTCTTCTCTCTCCTCTCTTCTTTCCATCCTATTTTTTTCCTTCTGTTTATTCCGCTGTTTCCTGTCCACGCTTAAGCCGGATTTATTCTCCACGGGATGTTGCAGGGTCTTCATGCAGAGCCCGACGTGCGTTTCCTCCGAAATCTAACTACATACCCTGGGGGCTCAGATAACAAGTAGAGACCACCAACTGTGGTTGGTCAACTTGGCCTGCTTGTGTTTTCCCTGCTTGCCTGTTTATGATGCCAGTAGAGATTGCTGATAAAGAAGAAGCGAGATGAATGTCAGTAATGTTATTACTTTTATTCATGCTGGCTAATGTATATTTTGTATTGTATTCTTTATTGTGCTGTATAATGTAAACAAACATGACTACTGTAGGTATATGTTGATTATTAGGGTTGGGGTAAAAAATATCTATATATATTGTATCGCAATAATTAATCTTGTTATATTGTATTGATTCCCGAAAACACTATCAGTTTTTGTGGTTAAACCCCCAACTGCTAGATAGCAGTGTTGTAAACGTAAACTGATGATGCATGATGTCGGATGTTACAGGGACTGTAAGAGACCATTTTCTTAAAATTAGGTTAAAAGAAAACAATCGTGAAGTTAGTATTTTTATCATTCTTGTGACATGTCTACTTTAGTTTGACTTTGACTTGACTCGTTTTTAATCAGTATGGCTGGAATTCTGTCCAATTTACCACCAAATTGAAATTCACCTGCACATAAAAGAAACGTTTATCCATGTGTAAAGGGGCAGGTGAGCGTGTGTGTGTGTGTGCATGTGTGTGTGTGTGTGTGTGTGTGTGTGCGTGTGTGTGTGTGTGTGTGTGCGTGCGCACGATGGTATGAGCATTTAAATTTTAGTGTGTGGCCCGAGAATGAGTGACATCACAGCTGTAAACACACAGCCCAATTATTCACCTTCAGCTCTACCCTTTACTCCTTCTTTACACACACACATTAGCATTTGGCAGTTGGCCGGTGTTTCATTCAAGCCTTGTTTAAGGGATCTATCCATGTCAGATTATTTGTCAAAACAAACCACATTATACAATAGAGAGGGAAAAGATATAAAAAAAAAGTCCTAATAACTGAAAGGGTTGACTGCATACTGCGGTTGCGGTTGTATATTCGTGTGTTTGCATGTGTGTAACAAAGGCAGTGAGAGGCAGCCAAGCTCCCTTAAATCAATTTTTAATGGCTTTCTTACATAGGAGAGGGAAGAGATTGGGGCAACACAACATACTTAAACATACACACAAACACACACACACACAACCACCTAAGCACATGCCGAGAGCTTGACAAATAGAGCCACATATGTGTTGACAGGCACATGGTGCAAAAATATGTACAGTTATATAATTACACATGCATGTAGGTATGCAGATACTCTGTACGTGAACACACACAGACATTGTAAGAGTGCATGTGTCCAAAAACACACATGCCACATATGTCACAATGCAAGGCACATACTGGTATGAGAGCTGAAAGAAAATATTAGGATTTAGGATCAGACTCAATAAGCTCTGGATAAACAAGATTAAAAACATGCTCAAGGTTCTTCCATCAGTGGGAAATGGCAAGTTTTGTATAAAATGTTATCATGCATGTTTTTTTTTAAATTACTATTGTTGATGTACAGAGCTTTATAGTCTGCCACACTTTTTTGAACACCAACCCCAAATATCACCATATTGTTCACGTCTGTTGGAAATGATTTGATGAGCAGTTTTGCATCAGTAGTCAGACTGGTCTCAAAGGTTAGCCATGTTTTTAATAGACATGTCAAACTACAACACTAGTCATGTAAGCTAGTTGGTTGTAATTATTGTTTTCTCCAGGTTTATGTTACAGTGCACCTGCATTACTTAGAGGACATTTAGACAATTCCCATTAATTGGTAGCTAATGTAGAGAGGCACAAGAGCCTTGAGGACATTAGGGTGGAGTGCTTCACACCCACTGCATTATCGTATAATCACAGTGCAGCTCTTGCAAGTCTAATATCACACCTTTTTAAAACAAGGTTAGAGTCTACATAGTGTTTTACAGCAGGTAAAAACAGCAGCACTAGACAGTGGGCATTAGACTGAGGATCAACAGGACACCAAGTAATAGAACCTAGGAAGGGTTTAAGATTGATTAAAATTACATAAAATACTGTGAAGGTCAGAGAAAGATGCAAGTAAGACAAGAAGAATAAGTAAGACAAGAAGGCAGCCAAATAGACAAAATATCACTGGTCTGTATATTCACACAAACGAGTCTGTCTATTAAGTTAATTGTATTGTAATGAAAGTGGAGATGTAACAGAAGACATCCAGTATATTATCATTAGGTTAGCAAAGATCCAGCCCCCAGAGATACTGTAGCACTGTGATCAGTCAGTCAGACCTGCAGATCACATGAGCCCTTGGGGCATTACAAAATCAATGGATGTAAAACAGTTCCTGGGCTTCTTGAGACTCACAATTTTTTAACTTTTATTGTACATAATATATGGCTGTTTATAGGATATTATTTGTATGGTCAGTCAAAAATAAAATAAAAACATAAAAGCACATACTTGGGTATGTATGCAAACTTTTTTTGGACAGTTTTGCTGGGTGAGCAGCCTTCGCTGGAATACATGGGCTACCGTAGCTAAATACATCATACTATTTTACTACATCAGTGTGTGTGTGTGTGTGTGTGGGTGGGGGGGGGGTACATCTGGTATGTTTGCATTAGCCATGCTAACTTTAGCTAGGTTAGATCTAAACAAGCAGACAGAGTTACCAAAAGACTTCAAATCAATTGGCTTGTGGAAGACAAAAAGCACTCTTCCCTAATATCTTGTTATTTACTGTTAAGTCCTGCAGGGTATGTTGTTCTTTTCAAACATTAAAGCCATACGTATCTTTACAGGATATTGTTTCTTTTAAGGTCTTTTACACTTCAGTAGTTTACTGCTGCCCGTCTTTGTCTACGTGCGCCTTTCGTGCTTAGCTTTAAAATATAAATAACTAAAATAAAATCAAGGAATACTGTCAAAAGGAACCTTACTTGAATCATACGCCCGTAAACTGATGCTCTCACTTTCTCTCACTGGCCACCTCTGCATATTTGCCCCAAAACCACAGCCCAAAAATTCCAGTGAACGTGGATGTTGTGTGTGTTTTGTGTATCCAGGAAACAGGTTAAGGGCTGACATTTTCAGCATCCACCTCGTCACAGTATGCATATTTGGCCCCATCAAAAATACCAATTTGTCTGTGGGGAAAAAAGCCAAGTCTGTCTCCGTCTGCAGTCTTTGTCATACTTTGTGTGACATACTACATCTTTAATTTAAGTCGTAAAATGAGGAGCAGTTAGGTTAAAATGAAGTGTATGTGTGAGTGGGGAGAGGAGAACTAACACAACAAACAGACTTACCTTTTGACCAAATATCTCAGACAGTACCAGCCTTATAGCTTTCTGCCATCAGCCATTCCCCCCCAAAATATTCCCCCCAGAAAAAAAAAAAATAAAGACAAAAATTTAAAATCTCTCACAGGTCAAAACATTGAAGAAAAATAGCCACCTCTTCAGTTAAAGAAATCCATACATTCAAGATCCTGGTCAAATGATTAATATGAGAATAATCCTCCTTTCTGTATAGAGACAATCCCCCCCAGCTTCCCCTTCAACCCACCAATGAATTGTGAAAAAAGGAGGGATTGTGTAGAAAAAAATGAGGGATTGTAGAAAAAAAATGAGGTGAAGAGAGGCTTAGAGACACAAGAGGAGGGAAGAGAGGATAAGGTCCGTAGAGGGGAGAGGGATGGAGATAGTTAATCCTTTCCTTCGGATCTATTCCCTATATGAATGATACGTCCAGCGCCGTCCTGCTCGCTGGCTTGTGCGCTGCCGTGTGTCTGAGAGGAGTGAGTGTGTGTGAAAAGGAGAGAGACGGAGTGTGTGTGTGTGTGAGAGAGAGAGAGAGAGAGACAACAGCGTTAGGTTGCTGGCGTCATGCGCTAGCCCTTCTGTGTGTCGCTATGTTTGTGATTCCTGCACTCAGCACGCGTCTGAGTGTGTGTGTGTGTGTGTGTGTGTGTGTGTGTGTGTTGTGTATTTATCCACACATGTACACTTGAGGGCTGTCTTTCCGGTCTGTGTGTGTGTGTGTTTGTGCCCCCACCTCCCCTTCTTCTTTTCCGTATGTGTGTGCAGTCGTGCATGTGGCAGGAGAATATGTGTGTGTGTTTGTGTGTGTATGTGTGTGTCCTGTCAAATATAGTAACATAGTGTATGCTGCCTCTGTCTGTCTGCAGCTCTCCCACTGTGACAGAGAGAGGATGAGGGAGGTGGAATACAGAGAGCGATAATACGAAGAGTGAAAGCCGAGAGAGATAGAGAGAATAAGAGCGAGTAGGAGGGAGGGGAGGGCAAGGAGAAAGTAGAGAGAGAGAGCGAGAGAGAGAGTGTGTGTGTGAGAGAGAGGTGGCGAGATAAATAGAGGTTGGATGAAAAAAGATAAAGGTAGGAGGGAGTAAGAGAAAGAGGGAGGCAGAGGACAGGGAGGTATGGAGGGAGATGGAAGGGGGAGACAGAAAGAGAGATGCAAGAAAGAAAGCAGTGGAGGGAGGAAGAGAGGGAGGGATCAGCTGATTTCAGTGAAGATGAGAATCTCCCTCTGCCACATGGGCTTTTCTCCTCCCTATTTTTTCCTTTTTTTTTCTCCTCATGTCTCCTTCGTTCAGCTTTCATTTTCATTCTATTCCCTGTGGCAGCTCTCGTAACGGCTGGCTTTGTGTGTGTGTCTGTTTAGGTGTGTGTGTGTGTGTGTGTGTGTGTGTGTGTGTGTGTGTGTGTGTGTGTGTGTGTGTGTGTGTGTGTGTGTGAGAGAGAGTGTCTGTCTGTGTAGAGTATGTTTGTGCATATGGCTGTACGTGCACACATGTTTTAGAGTGTGTGTACTTTTCTCACAAAAAGCTGGTTCTTAAAAGGTAAAACATTACACTTTAGGGCAAAAATATTTGGGGTTCCTCAAGAAATAAATAGAAGTCAATGCAGTGTCCTCTAAGTTGGTGTGTGCGCTCATTAGTGGAAGACATTGTGAGACAGCAAAAATGCTTCCTTTGGAAGACACCAGTGATAATTTCGGAGACAGACAGAAGGAGGATGGGGGAGTAAAGGGGTGTGGAGGGTAACTGGTAGGGGGGATTGTGTGTTTGTTTGCATACAGCATATAATTACTTGGCTGCTTTCTTACATGGACTGAATCATAGTTGACAACACACACACACACACACACACACACACACACATTGTGCTGTTAATGAGCATGTGAATCATTTGGCTCTACAACGCACCATTTCACTGCATATGAGATTGTGTGAATGTGAAAAATTTGGCTGCACCTGCGCGAGTGACTCTAGGTTTTGACACCCAAAATTGGCAAAGTTCACGGATGGACTAATCTCCAACGCTTACAAATCTATTGTCAAATCTGTCATCTCTCCTCTCTCTTTATTAGCAGCAAGCAATCAAACGTAGCAGATTCTCATTTCACAGGTTGAAATGACAGACATCGCTGGCAGCAGGTCATTCCGGTTGTTGCTAATTAATATTAATTCCATGAGTTTAAGCCAAATTTAAACATGTCTGTTATCTGGTAAAAGCACTCTCTGCAGTCGATGTTTGTATTTGGCAAAAGAATATTTGTGAGGGAAGAAACTCCCCTCTGTAATACCACTGTATGACCAATAGGGGTTCAGCTCGTTGGTTTGGTTTCACGCTTACTGTTTTGGTTAACAAAGTCACACCTGTGTCATCAACTTGCTTCCAGACAAAGTTGTATGCAGCAAAAAAGCTCTGATATACCCACTATACATTACCTGTCCAGCAACAAACATACATTTCCCTTGGTTGAGACCAAAACAAAGTTACAAGGAGAGTGAATTTGCTCTATATTAGATGGCTGGAAACAAGACTGTAAATGAATGTGTAAGCAGAACAGTTTGCAAAGTTAGTCAGCTGTGTAAGATGTTGAGTCCGACACAAATGTACTCATGTTACATTTTCAATAAATAAACTGTGTGAATCCCATATTATAAACTGAGTATAGCACAAAAAAAACAGTGACTTCTAACCGCAAGTTCAATCAATCAATCAACCCCCAGTCCAGCCCAGAGTCCAGAATCTCTATCTGCTCTTATTTTAATGTATTCAGGATGGATAAATAAGCATGCAATACCAGTGTAAGATAGGGAATATCATACATTCACATATTAAAAGCTAATTACCAATTCAATTGTAACAATATGTCATAAAATGGATTTCAGGCCCTGTCATACAGCCCTTTCTATTTACTAGTGAGCAGCACCTACCTGTACACCTTCCTGAGTTTGCACACATCACTGTCTGTCACCAGCTTCATGGTTTTGCACAGGCCAATTAAAACACTGTGTTTTGTCAGCTGCCCAACACATACACATACATACAACCATACAACCAGAACATGAGTCCTCTGGTTTCCTGTCCAAATGTGGGTGCTGTGCTGGCTTCACTGGTCTTCAATGTAGTTCCTGGCAAACAGAAATCTGTTTTAGCTGCCAGTAGCTGCTGCCAGTGCTATATAGGACAGACTCTTGAATGGTAGTTATGAAAGATGATTGGCTAGAATGACTGGAATAGCAGTGAACATACAATATGCTGCACACAAAACTTTTTTGTTGTTGTCTATTATTGTCGAAGGATTTTTGTCATAGAAAGACATCTGCTTTTATAACAGCAAAGTTAAGGGCTCTATGTGTGTTTGGGTTGTGTGTTATCCCAAAGGGGTAGTCCTCTAATTAGTCCTGCCCCCTCTGCTTCAGAGTGCAGGGGTCACCAGGGTTAGCCACTATAATGCAACCTTTCAGCTGCAGAGAATTTAGTGCCAGGCTCAAGGACACTTCATATACAGAAAAATGCTTAAAGGCATGTACTGTTGATAGCCAAAATGTATTCAGTTCAAACTAATACTTCAAGTTTTGTTGTGTTGCTGCTGTCATGTGTAATCTGTCATACTCGGCCATTTCTGGCGCGTTCTTGAATAAAAAATAAACACATAATAAATGATTTCTTTGCACCTGTGTGAGATGGAGAGAGTCAAGACGGCAAACGCCATTGCAGGATTTGGATTTTATGTCATGTCACTGCACTCAAAATTCTCCTTCTTTCAACTTTGACTTTATTTTTCGATGACCTTTCAGTGTGCAGCAGATGAAATGACAGCTGTCTGTGATGTAACCTGATAGCAATCCATGGTGGATGAAAAGGACAAAAAAAATATCTTGCACCCAAGCCCTTCTTGATCATCATATTCTCACTCTCACTTCTTCTCTAAAGAAGAATATTTGACACTGCCTTTTATGTTAGACTGAATTACGTAAATCACTAACAGTCTTTACTAGACTTGCACCACTTTGTCTCTTCGTTGCACCTTGTGGTGAGAAAAGCTAGAGAGCCTTAGTGTTTGGGAAAATTAGTTTAGCATTGCTGCAACCAAAAATGTCAAAGTATATCCAGCATAAGATGTTAAAAATGATATAAGCACTGTCGGAAAAAAATTAGCTTATAAAAGTTATTCAATTCCATAAACAACAGTGTATAGACTGTGGCCCAGTCCCCTCAGGCAGCTCCTATGAGACTGTGCTAACTGATTGAGCGGGAAGAGGGTTTTAACACCAGATAAGAATGCGAGGTGAGCTTGATTTATTTGGTCCTCCAAGGGATGTGTCCACTTTTTTCGGGCTGTTTATGTGTCTGGCAAAGAGGCCTTCTGGCATGAGGATCCATTGTTAGTGCCAGCACCTCCTGCCAAGGCGACTTTTATGGCCGGTTCTGTTCCATCAATGATGCAGGAAATACGTGTTATGAAAAATGATTACTGGCTGTGGTTTGGAGCAAGAAAGTGTATTTTTTAATCTTTCTGCCTGGCTACTATGGTCTTACCCAGCATTTCTCTATTAGAGTTATTAATTCCCTTGCTACTGGAATATTGGTGTATTTATTATCCAGGAGGCATGATTAAATCCCTGCACTCCTGTTCGTTGCCTCTAATATTGATGATATATGAATTTAAACCCATTCTGTTACATTCATTATAAGTTGCTGTGTGAACTATATGGATATGTATAGTCTCTCCCCTTCCTTCTCTCCTCCAACTTTTCTCTTCCTTCTCTCTTCCTCCTCTACCAATTCTGTCTCTTCCCTCATCTCTATCGCTCTCTTTCTCTCCCTATCTTTTAACACCCTCACCCCCTCCCTCACTCTGTAATTTACTGTGCTATTGGGTGAGTGTCAGTGAAGATGAATTGGCTCTAGTCTTTGTATTAACACCAGGTCTGGGCAGGCACGTTTAGCGATACAACCACTAGTTCCTGCAAGGAGCAAGTGACTTCAAGGCACTATCCATCTTAACATACACACACACACACACACACACACACACACACACACACACACACACACACACACACACACGCACACACAGGGACAGAGAGATTGTATATGTCTATGGTTCCATCCAAGGAGTCATTTGTGTCTCTGTTCTCATATATCACCGTTTTCTATCATCCGTGAATCACGCTCATATTGACCAGACAGTTTTATCACCCTTCGGTCAATACGGTCAATGAGGATTGCTCCATTAGAAATCAATCATGTTTTAATTCATGCCTTGAAACACATTTTTCCAGACAGCCTTTTATTGAATAGAGTATTGTATTCCAATTTATTTTGCCTTTTGGTTCTTTTATAGTATATATTATACAGTTGAAAAACAGATGCGGCGTAACACGTCTGCCACAAAATGCCCACAGCATGATTAAAATATGATAAAAATAAATACCTCATTGTACCAAAGGCAATGCGTCTTTAGAGAGCCTCTTCCAAAGCCACAGAAGATATTACAAAGCTGTTGTCACAGGCTGAATAGAACTCCTCATGACAAATTAAACTGAACTTCATGTTTAAAATGTCTTTAAGATGGCTACTACATACACATGATACATTGTGATCAGCTATACAGAATATTTTGGTATTGTATTTATATGCAATACTTACTAAATATAATCAACAGTTTACCTGCAATATCACACTGTGGACACAAAAAAATCTATATATATATATATATATATATATATATATTGCTTATGTTAATGTCCAATGATTAATACACTAATTTCATTTGTCCCAAAAATACACTGTTTTGTACAAATTATGAATACTAACTGTTTAATTATGCTGTTACTGAACAAGTAAAAATGACAACTTTGCTGTTTAATTATAACCCTTTTATTAGGGAAATAAGTATGCTTCTTTTT